TACTGCATCTCCTCTTTTTTTTTTTTTTTCTTTTTTTTGGCTAAGCTTAACACACTGATCTTACTAAGGAGTTAGTAATAAGAAAAGCCATTCACTGAGGTTTTTTTCTTCTGTCTTTTACAAGTAACGAGCAGCAAGTTCTGAATTTAATGGTCTTCAAGCTTTATAAGATTGTCAACATTAAAATTGAAAAGTGCTTGAATATCTAATGCAGCAGGTGTACAGCTTGGTTTTTGAAATTACATAGTCCAGGGAAATAACTGTTAAATGTTAGACACCTAACATTATCCTTGGACACTTAATATATGAAATTGCTGCATTCTCATGACTAGGATCAGTTTCACGTAGAGCACAGTTTCTTTTCATTCTAAGACAGTGGAAACATTCAAAGGAGAATTCGTTAAGTCTCCTTCACAAGGAAGAAAGCTTTTTTTTTTTTTCAAATGCATATGTGCATTATGATTCTGTATTGTGTGCCCCACCTTGAAGTCTTTAAGTTGTGTTTGAGCCCAGACCTTCTTTTCCTGCGATCACTCTCTTAGGACTTGGGGTTTGTTTTTTTTTCCCTCCTGTTGGATGGCTTCTTAGGAATGAGCATGCTGACAGTAGAAGACAGTTCATTGTCATCGTTATAGTCTTCAAACCCTAGAAGTGAAGTTGAGCGCAAGACCTTGCAGATGACCAATGCCAACAGGAATATATTTTAGAGATCAAAAAATCTGCTAGATACTAAACTTCATTACGCTTTCCATTAACTTGGCAGAATACTGCAGCACTAGGCTGGAACTGAAATTGTACAAGATGATCTGACTGACTTCAATTAAGTACCTTCAGAAGTGAATGTTTCATTGGTGAACTCCAGCTTCTACCTGCTCTGCAGTGTGTTATGACAGGTAAAATTGCTCCCAGATCCAGAATATGTGAAAACAAAAGGCATAACAGGTAAACTACCATAATTAGTTTTTTTAGTGTCCTCAACCATTGATCTGAAAATGGAAATGTAAAGAGCTTTTGAGGGCTCAAGGCTAATACAAATGCTGAATGAGATTAGAGATTCGTCTTGGTGATAGGTGTAGCTGTGCTGCATCTAACTAATCGAAGCTTTTTGTGGCAGTGATATTTCAAACCTCTGGAAGTATCAAAATCATTAGTGGGAGAAGAAAAAGTTTAAAGCCCCCAAATAGAACATGTTCTTTACCTAGTGCGATTTGCTTGCAACTGAGGTATCTTGCTGCCTTACATGGCAATAACAACCAAGAGAGTATTAAAGAATTACAAGACAGTTGCATGCCAGCATTGCAGAGGAGCATTACATAGAAGTTATATTTACATTCTTTCATTGAGCTGTGTAGGTAAAGAGAGGCTTTCTTTACAGTTTTGCAGCTTCCATTGTTGTGAAAAGTCTTAATGCAAATAAGCAACGGGCTGATCTGAAGTAGTTTGCAGTTGGACTTGTGTGGATACATTGTGTGAAGTTCTGGAGGCACAGCTCTGCTAATGGACAAAGTCCTTTCGCAGTTCTAGCAAATTAGTCCACAGTATCACCAGTTTTCTGAAAAAGGCTTATCAGCTGTCATTGCTGTCTCAGCCAGCTACAGGTCACAATGTCATATCTAATTTGCCAGAACTGGGAAAGGACTTTGTCCAGTAGCAGGGTTCTGCCTCCAGAACTTCAGATTTGGATTATTTCTGTCAAGTCCGGGTGAAAGTTCCTTCCTATAAGAAAGAAGCAACATCATAATCTTTGTCCTCCCATATGCTACTAGTTTTGCTCCCATCAGTTCTACAAGGTGTGTGGCACAGATCTTTTTTTTTTCTTTTTTTTTTAATGTCCCTCCACGAAAATTTTTGTACATGAGTTTGGAAAGGTTGGCCACTCTGGTTTAAAACCAACAATGTTTTGGTGAAACTTTAACTTTACTGATAAACCCCCTTTTTTTTATTTTACCCCACATTTGCATTTCCCCCTTCCTGATACTTTTTTTGACAAATTCTTTGCAATGAATCCTATTCTGTTAACTGTATGCCCGCTTACATCAATTCAGTCATAAGCCACCGAAAAACAAAACACAAACCAGCCCTGTTTAGCTGTCTTCTCAATGCTCAGAATGTCATAAATGTTACATTTTATGGCATTTCTTTTACCTAAGCCAAATTGAAATGCTGGGAATAAATGTTCCCCATTCTGTTGCTGACTACAGATAACACTATCTACTTTGCAGTATAGGACTCCCTACAAAACGTGGGTGCATACCTGCAAATACTGGGATATATTTTGCATAGTTCTGTTGTGATAAAATGACATTTGCAGGATATCAGGTTATTTTGAAGATTGTCAGCATTCATAATTCCAACAAAAAACGAAAATTTGGGTGTTATAACAAAGGCCCTGCAACTCTCAAAAGCATGATGTTGTAATGTAACCTAAAGACTGTCAGGAAACTGAAAGCACAGTTTCAGACTTCTGGCAGTATATTCCTTAACTGCAGTTTGATGGATAATTTAAAACAATTCAGATTATTAAGTGATACTATGAAATCTAAAACTTAATTACCCTTATCTGCAAAGTTTTGTCATGGTAGAAAAGAAGAATCCAATTTGGACTAATTTTAGCTTCTGCTTGTAATTTCACACCAGGAACGTGTGTAGTTTGGTTTTGCCAGAGATACAGTTATCTGACCTTATATTGGTTACTGGGCATACAAACATATTTTGTTATTCCAAAAAGAAAAAAAGTGCAAATAAACCTGATATAACCTGAAAAAAACCAAAAATATTTAGATGGTTGTATAGTAAGTTATGGTACGTCTGGTAAGACAGCTTGCTTTGATAAGTCCTTGTTCTTATTCCTACATCCTCAGAGGGATTTATTTTTAATTGGTATACTTGATAGCTGCTGGAGTATATCACCAACATCACAAGACTGCTGAAATAAATGTGCCTACAGCAACTTAATAGAAAAGAAAGGCACATTATTTTGAAATGCTATTAAAATGTGGATTTCATTTGGATTTAAAATACTGATTCTTCACATCCACATTCATCATGAGGGAAGGTAGAAAGGTCCCTGTCTTGAATCCTTCCTGCAGAGAAAATGTGAATGAAAACCTTTTTGGACAAGTTGATGAGAATAAATACAAAGGTCAGACAGTAGTCTTGTGAGAGTCCTGAAGGAATTCAAATTTGAAACTTCGTAAATGTTATCTGTGGCTTAAGCATTTTGCTTGAAACTCTCTATACCTGAGTAACAGGTTTTGGGTTTTTGTTTACTGGGGGGTTTTTCCCCCCGCAAAAAAAAAAAAAGTCTCTGTAAATACTGCTGTGAACAGCTATGATACGAAAACGATAAGTCATACTATTTTAGACTTCATTCACTTTTGTGTTCTTCAGAGGTGTTGGTGAATATGGGGACAAGGTGATTCGAGTAGTCCATTTGGATTTACAGAGCTTTCAAAAAGGTCTCCTACCAAGTCATAGAGACATGTAACAGCATACTTAGACATAAGTATCTTTTGTCTGAGGGCAAACCTGTAGGGTGGAATTAGCTGTTCAGTCTACAGGAGTGGCCTTTAACATCACAAGTGGTGCAGAGAATACTGTGTAATTATTCACTGTTCATACAGGGGCAGATCAACAAACTCATGAGGATGCAGCTTAAAAATAAACGAGTTCATTTTCACGTAACAGATTTTGAAATTCTTTGGCAACTATTTTGCTACCTAAACTAACTATACACTTGCTCAATTTCAACACAAGAAATGCATAC